GGGGTCGCACTCCCCCTGAAGACACAGGTTCGCAGTTTGGGTGTGATCCTGGACTCATCGTTGAGCCTGGAGTCGCCGCTTCAGGCTGATAAATGCGGTATACAAATGGAGTAAATAAATAAACCCCAGGTTTCAGCGGTGACCAGGGGAGCATTCGCACAGTTAAAACTCGTGCGCCAACTGCGCCCGTACCTTGGAAAGTCTGACTTGGCCACGGTAGTCCACGCTCTGGTTACATCCCGTTTAGACTACTGCAACGCTCTCTACGTGGGGTTGCCTTTGAAGACGGCCCGGAAGCTCCAATTAGTCCAACGCTCGGCAGCCATGATACTAACTGGAGCGGAGCGCAGGGAGCATACAACTCCTCTGCTGCACCAGCTCCACTGGCTGCCGATCTGCTACCGGACTGAATTCAAAGTGCTGGTGCTGGCCTTTAAAGCCCTAAACAGTTCTGGCCCAACTTACCTATCCGAACGTATCTCAGCCTATCAGCCCACCAGGACCCTAAGATCTTCTGGGGGGCCCCTGCTCTTTATCCCGCCTGCTTCACAGGTGCGGCTGGCGGGGACGAGAGACAGGGCCTTTTCTGTGGTGGCCCCGCGGCAATGGAACGCCCTCCCCATGGAGGTAAGATCAGCCCCCTCATTGATGGTTTTCCGGAAAAGACTAAAAACCTGGATGTTCGAGCAGGCGTTCGGTTAACTCAGTGCAATAAGTGTAATGATTGAAGGACTGGCAATTTGGACGACGAAACTGGATCGTGATTTTAGTCAAGAGATGAATTGGATTGTTTATTGATATATGTATTGTGGATCGTGTTTTTATGCTTTTAAACTGTATACTGTTGTTTGTTATAAGTTGTTGTAAACCGCATTGAGTCGCCGGCTAGGCTGAGAAACGGCGGTATACAAGTATAGCAAATAAATAAATAAATAAATACATTAACTAACTCTCGTGCAAAGAGTGCTCCTGAAGGAGCGATGCGGCATCTCCGTAATGCTCGGAGCTTCTGGCCCCAGCTATTATACTATTACCAGTCCTAGTCCAAGCCTGGGCAAACTTGGGCCCTCCCTCCAGGTATTTTGGACTCCAACTCCCAGCATTCCTCACAGTCTCAGGCCCTTTCCTTTTGCCCCTCAGCTGCTTAAGCTTAAGTGGCTGAGGGGCAAAAGGAAGGGGCTTGAGGCTGTGAGGAATGATGGGAGTTGGAGTCCAAAACACCTGGAGGGAAGGCCCAAGTTTGCCAAAGCCTGTTGGAAGCTAAGAGGCTTGCCTGGCATTCACTCACTCACCTCCACTAGCGTGTAATCGGGCTCCTTCTTTGGAAGCTTTTAAACAGAGGCTGGATGGCCATCTGTCAGGAGTGATTTGAATACAATATTCCTGCTACTTGGCAGGGGGTTGGACTGGATGGCCCATGAAGTCTCTTCCAACTCTTTGATTCTATGATTCTTTGGGGCCCGGATGACGCATCCTCCTCAGTGGGAGCACATCCAGTAGCGTGCCCAGGAAGACCATGCTTAGCATCAACCCCACCATACCCATGACCCTCGGCATTGCTTCCTCCCAGGGAAGACCCCAACAGTGGTGTCCCAAAATGCCAAAGAGAAGCAGATCCCTTCAAGCTAGGGGGGAAAGACCCCGGGGTCCTGCTTTCTGAGCAAAGTCACAACAGAGGCAGGCAGGCGGGGAGGGCGCTCTTCCTTCCTTTCTTCCTCCACCCGGCTCATTTTCCTCCATCCCTGGTCATGTTTTGACCCTCGCTGTCTCTGGCACCTGATGCAGAAGGGAGGCAGCAGAGCAAAGCAGGAAAGAAGGCAAAAGAAGTCGGAGTGACAGAGAGAGAGAGTGAGTGTGTGTAAAGGCGCAGGAGTGGGCTCCTCTTTGGCAAGGCTCCTGCAGGGGTGCCTCAAGAGCACCCCTCGGGGATTTGCGCTATATGCAAATGCGTATCTTGCCTACTGCTTCAGCTGCCCCTGGTTAGGACAATAGGAATCCTGGCAAAAAGACAAACATACACGAGCAATCCAACGTTTAATTAAAACACATATCTTAAAAGCAGCACTTGCCAACCCAGCCCATTATATCAGCAGAGGCTGAAAAAGAAAACCACTGGGAAAGTTGTAACATTTATCTCCTTGTATTGTCAAAGGCTTTAATGGCTGGAATCACTGGGTTGTGGTGTGTGTTCTGGGCTGCATGGCCATGTTCCAGAAGCATTCTCTCCTGACATTTCATCTGCATCAGGCATCCTCAGAGGTTGCAGGAGAAACGTCAGGAGAGAATGCTTCTGGAACATGGCCATACAGCCCGCAAAACACACAACAACCCATTTATCTCCTCCTTTACTTCTTTATGTGGAATCAAAACTCATGGGGAAGCGCATCCAGACTGCACTTGTTATAACAGTGTGATTCCATTCTACCTGCTATGGCTTCCTCCTATAGGATCTCAGGATTTGTAGTTTGACGAGGGACATAGAACTCTGTGCTAGAAAGTTGCAGAACAACAGCACAGTGCAAGAGCCTTAGTGCTGTCATTCTAAAACTTTCCAGCAAGAACTATAAATCCCAAGTTATATAGGATAGCACCACAGCAATTAGAAAGTGGTCACACTGCCCTGTGTCATATCCTAGTCTGCTGGAATCTGGTTTCATAATTAGAAAAAGCTCTGGGCTGGTCTATGGCAAGGGGGCTCCACTCTCTTAAAAACAATGATTGTGGCTTAAAGTCTGGGGAAAATATGGATTTAATTTGCGTCTGCCCTAGACGGTTGAAGGATATTAAGAGGTTGGGTTATGGGGATTCTGAGGCATGGAACTTCTGGTGTTCATCTAAGCTCAATTCATCATAAAAACTCTTGCTACAATGGAGGCATTGGAATAGTTTCAGCTTTTTGCACTTGTTTTGGTGAAGTTTAAGCTTGGCTGGGTTGCCAAAGTTCTCCTCACACTGTAAGCAAGGGTAGCTTTTGACCCCAGTATTAATTCTTTGGAGGAACTCCATCCCCAGGGTTGGGCTGGGGCTGTGGACAGAGGGCACTTCCTGTCCTGGCAAAACTTGGGTGGAGACCACTTCCCGCTCTGCCAAAACCTGGCCAGAGGGTACTTCCTGTCCTGGCAAAACTTGGAAGGAGACCACTTCCCGCCCTGCCAAAACCGGGCCAGAGGGTACTTCCTGTCCCATCACCCATTGTCTAAGAGAGGAGGGTAGTGAGCTCTGGATCACTGACATCCATTGAGAAAAAGATCCAGTTTTGGCATGTGTTGGTGGGGATGTATCTGAATGAGACAGGAACGAGGTGCCCGACCAAGGAGGACGTGACTTTGGAGGATCTGTCTGAACATTTGGAAAAAGGGAATGAGGTGAAGGTGAAGGGGACGCATAAACAGGGGAGTGCAAAAGAGACTGGGAGGGCTCCGCCTGCTTTGGGCTGTTGTCTGGCTCACTGTTGTCCACCTGCTGATGACAAGCCTCCTGGAGACTATCAATCATCCAAGGCTTGAAATACTGCCTCACTCTGGATGTAGAGGGACTGACGGCGAGCGCAGCTGGTAGCCCCGCCTTTACATTAGTTTGAACTGCAGCAGGGAGTTCCGCAGTTCC